TTTGTTTGTTAAAATGAGTATTGAGGATGGAAGTAATAAATACACTTTGTCAAGTAGCAAATGCTCTTTCACTACTGCTGAAGACTTTTTTTCTTCTTTATTACATTTACGTTCCAATTTCAGTAAAATGTAGTCACCTGGTGTTGCATTCAGTTGTCAGATCAGATGGATATTGTTAGAAAATTGCTGATTTTCCTTTGTATAACACTTGCATTAATAAATTTCCTGAGCATTTGGGAGAGCAGATTTCTAGCATTGGGACTCCACCTTGTTTACATTTGACATACATTCCCTTGAATTGACCATTTGTGGTGAAAGATTTACCACCTGACAGAGCAAGATCATCAAAATGTCATTCACATGATGCTACAGCGACAATACAATATCATTGTGCTTCATTTTCCAGAAAGTCTGTTGGATGTAATCAAGCTGAAATTCACCACTAACTCCATCAGATTGGAGGATGTGGAAAAGTGTGACCGGCAACTTGGATCACTACCCTAACTTGGATAATCACTTTTCTAAAATTCTTCAGTGTAATAGGAATGCACTGTTAGGATGCAGGTCAATAAACCAACTGAAATTTGCATTTCTTTGCATTAAGATCTGCACAAGCACATGATTCCTTCCTCGGTGTGCAGCAAGCCAAGCACTCACCAAACCGGTTAATCAGCAAAAACTTTCAACTCAAGTGGTTCATTACAAATTTTGAACTGCAGCAAGAAAAGGAGGAAGATCAGCAGTAGGATACCCCAACATGGAGCTAGTAAAGACATACAGTTGCAATGTTAACAATTCATTGGGAATCTGCAAGGTTATTGCATATTTTACATGCTCAGAAAGCAGGAAGCAAGGGAAGCCTATGAGAGCATTTAGTCTTTTCACAGACTGTAAATAAGGTGCACGTAAAGAATTCTATTTGTACTGCTATAAGCAGTTTGCTAAATTTATATAATTTATGCTTTAGCTGAAAGATAATTGAACAAAATTCCACAATATCTATCCATATTGGCTTGAATTAAATGAAAAGCAGAATAACTTTTCTGACAGGCTGCAACATGTGAGTGGGTTGAGAGCACTGTCTGTTCTATCCACTTGCAGTCTCAGGTATCCGAGAAACACACGATAGCAAATAAATGTAATCTATAGCTATCGTTCTTTCTGATCGCTGACACACCACCAATGATAAGTGTAGGTGACATTCCGTAAAACATTGATTTCTTTTAAAATTAAAATAATACCTTCAAAATAGAACAGAGTAACAAATATTAAGGGCCAGAAATTGGGCTCATTTGTGACTATGCTTGGGCACCATTAGGGTCCTTAGGGATCCAAAGTGGTGGACACTGTGGGTCAAATCACTGAACATTAGCATAGTGAGGGCAATAGAGTAGGGGCATAAGTGTAGTGATCAGTTGTTAGAGATATGTTTTATTCTTTTCATGGGATATGGGCATCACAGGCAAGACCAGCATTTGTTGCCCATCCCTAATTGTCCCTGTTCTGAGAGGTTTGCTAGGACTGGGAAACCAAGCTGGGTAAGGATGGCAGAACATCTTCCAATGATTTTGTTTAGAACAATTAATGCCAGCTGTCAAAGTCATCATCAATGAAATTGGCTTTAACAATCCCAGATTTATTATTTGGACTTAAATTGCAACAGCTGCAAGGTGGGATTTGAACCCAAGTCATCACAGTACAAGCTGGATGTCTATTCCACTGACATTACCCCTACACAACCATCTCCCCATATGTATAGCTGGTATACATGGTCATGGTCTCATTCTGTATACAGCATTGATATAGTGCCAGCAGTGCATTTTGGAGCTCAGTGTTTAAGCTAATACATTTTTCTAACTTTACACACCTAAAAACATGTTAAGCAGCGTAAAGGACGCACATAGTGCTATTAATGAACACTATAAAATTAATAAGAATTAATTACTTACGGTGCCTGTTTCAAGTGCATTTTGTCAACTGCCTTTAATTGCTAGTTGACTTCATGTAGCTATTAGTATAATTCTGCAAGTGGTTATTGTTTTCTATAGTTGCATCAAGTTGCAAAAGTATACAGGGAGACTTAAGCTGATGGAATTTTTGTTGACTTCAATGATTCTAAATGAACCAGTTGCTCCTGGTCATAGCTGCACGAGTGGATATTTTTCTTAGAATACTGTAGGATTGAGCTTATGTTTCAATATTACTTATGGTTTAGCTACATAATTTATAATTGAGGCATTAATACTATATTCTGTTTAATTATGGTGAATGAAAGACACTTACATCATGCAGTTCTTTTGTCTGTGGATGCGGAAAGAAAGAGAAGACAGAGAAACAACTTCAGTCAATACACCCAGTCATCCAGAAGTCACAAGTTGGTCTTTAGAAACGAACCAATTTAACCACTGCATTATTGAATATCATTACTTTATACTTAGTATAAATACCTTAATAAATTCTGTGAAACCTGTGAATGTATACTTATACCTAGAAGTGGTCTTCTATTAGTTGGAACTGGAAAACTTTTGGATTTGTTCTGTAAACTCTGTCTATGATAGAATTGACTTAAGTTTTAAAATTAAAAATTCATTGAACACTCCAAATATTACAATACCACATAATTTGGAAAATGAATAGAGACCATGCAGAGCATCACAAGCTGCTGGAAGAGAGAGTGGGAGAAGGGCTTACCCTGAGAGGTTCACTTTTATGTAAATCTTGCTATTCATTGACAGCTAGCTACATTTCATTCTCTCTTGACAGTGACATGCAGAATGACTACATTGCTTTGCTAAAATCGTAGGCTTTCCATGGTGCAGGCTGTCATTGGCTACATGGACATTGCTTTGTTGATACTGCATGCGAGCACTGACATGTAACAGAAGCATAAGGGAATCTATCCCTCGACATCCAGTTGGCGTGTTACCATAGCCATACCATACTGTACCATCATGTTGGTCATTGTTTATCAGTCAGCCATGACAGCTATATTTCAGCCATTATGGCAAACCAAGGCAATGACTATTGGGAAGCATGGGATCCACAGATGATGTGACTGATGCTCTGGTAAATGTGCAGTATACATGCAAAGAAAGCTACATTACCATTTAAGATGTGGTAGAGCAGACCATACTGTACTGAAATAGTGGTTCCACTGTAAGCTGCACTGTGGAGGATTCCTCCACTTCATGGTGGAGTGGGTGTCAAGATTTGTGCTGATTTGCTGTGTAGCCTTACATTTAGAGAATGGCAGCCACAGTAGAGGCAGTTACAGGGCTAGCACTGAGAACTTGAAACATGAGGTAGAGAGGAGAATGACAATGTGGGCAGTAACTGAGATGGCTCCTTCCTGCCTAGTCTGCCCATGATGAATGTGTGATTCGAGTTACCACAACTCTGATTCCTCATTCACCAATCTGTACATTCCTTACCTTCTGTCTGTTGCTGACGATCGAAGTGTTCATTTGTCTGCAATGCAAGAATAAAATTAATCATAGAATATACATTCCACGTATTTTCATCACCACTGTGTTCTTGCCTGGCAAAGTTGCACTTCTGAAAGAACAAAGGTACATGGATAAGGTTGTGGTACTGGGCAGGATTAGATAAGAAGTTCATGCATAAATCATCTATAACTTGTAAATCTAAAGAAGGTGTGGGATGTGGAGGAGATTGGATGCAAGAAGCAGGATTAAGATTGAGCAGAATGCAGACAGGCTTGGAGAATGACCATGAGTTCAGGCTCAGAAGCGGCAGCTCCAAATTGCACAATTTCATTGTCTTCAATGGTTTCAGCTGCACTGGCACAATTAGCATCCCAAAAATGGTCAGCACAATCTCATCCAGATAGGAAATGCAGGTATACCTGGCCCCTGCTGTTATCTCCTGCTGGTTTTGGTTGTTTCTGCCTTTTCCTGCAAGAGAGAGTGAAATATGTTAGTGAGTGTGGTGCAATGTGTTTAGCTGATTTGGCTGAATAGCAGACAATGTGCAAACTGCGATGAGATTATTAGGATTGAACCAATGCTAAATGTGCAAGATTAAGGTGAGTACGTGAATCTTATGTATCAGTCCTCATTAGTAGAGGTGATTGGTAGGTGAACCATAAGAGTATGGTGAATTGAGCAATTTCTGAGGCTTTTAGTGCAATTGGTAGGATACAACATTTGAAGAGACATTAACTGACCTTGACAACTCATGTGATATTCTTGAACTTCTTATGCCACCTCCATCTTGTATTCTTAGTGCTTAATTCCTTGTAATTGAGCTCCATGATTCTTCGTTCCTACTACATCTATCTGGAGGTCGTCCTTGCCACCTGCAGATAGAGGACACCTCCTTACTTGTATTCCACCAAAGCCAAGACAGCATGCAACAAACTTGGAATTTGTTCAGTCCCAGATTGTGCCGTTCTTCAATGTTTTCCGGGTCAGGTTGCCTGCACTTGCTTATGTGACAGTTCACTTCCCCTTTTAAACAGCATAGGCTAGTGTTAAGCAGTGAGGCTTAGCTTTCAGTAGTGCTCACCATTCATGACTTTGCCCTCCTTTCAAATATTCAGCAGCAAGGTTAGTCATGATTTAACATTGATATTATTCAGATGAGCAGGCAGCATGAAGTTGGCAAGAAGTCTGTGGGCACAAGGTACATACACATTATGATCACTGTGTTAATTTTTGATAGCTATTCAAATTAGCACCTTTTCTTTGTTTAGCATGCTGCTAATGAGCAGTCCTCAAAATACTTGCATTGATTTATTACTTCCTGGGCTGAATTTTATAACATTGACGACGGAGTGCAAGTCATAAAATTGTGTAGGATGCAACAAAAAATTCTTTTTGGTACACAACACAGGAAATTTATTGGAGCTAAGTGTTTAAGAAAGCAGTTAATGAACACAAATGACAACAATCTGTTAAAACAGATAGTTGATTAGATATTTGGGAGGCTGATTTTGCATTAATAGAAAGTTACATTGAAGTTTCTTTTTCATTTTATAGAGCATTAAGTAGGAGAACTAATGGATGAAGATGACAAGGACAAGGCAAAGAGGTGAGATTTTATTAGGTCTTTAGAGAAATATGAAAATAAGCATTGTATTTCAAGCTGTTTTGTTTCAACTTTGAATTGTTTCATATGTTGTTTGCTCTTTTCTTCTCCCTTGTCTTTGCTGGTCCTGTGAATTTCCTTTGAATGGGTGACTAAATCAAGGAATATAGTGATCAGCTTATGAGCATTGCAGTCTTTCCAAAGAAGAAATAGTACTTTTTTTGCAAATATATTTGTTTACAAGATGTGGGCAGTTAGGCATCTCAGACCAGTATTTATTGCCGTCTCTAACTGCACTTGATTAGGTGGTGGTGAGTCGCTGCTTCGAACTGCTGCAGTCCACAGAATACGTGGTAGATCCACAATACGGTTTCCAGAATTTTGACACCGTGATAGTGAAGAAATGACAATACAAGGGGTTCTCCTATAACCCATGTTCCAGCAATGCGAATTGGCTATAACGCGATTGACAAATAGGGGAATGGTATTTGTAAAACACAAACTTTGTGTTGGCTATAACGCGATCCCAACGTTGACATCACATGATCGGTTCGTGGGCTTTGTCCTGAGCATGCGCTAAAAGAGTCCCCATGCTGGCATCAAGTATCTTTGCACTTTGTGAGAGATACTGTACAATTCTGCTGTGTTACCCACAAAACGCGAGGACAAAACGGCAAGAATGATAACAGGATGCGTCCTGGTGATAAAATTGCGGGTGGTGTACATAAAGAAAGGCTATAACGCTGAAAGAGAAGCTAGCTGTTGTAAAGCGTTTTGAGTATAGTGAGAGAACATGTGATAATGCTCATGCAACAGGAATGAAGGAGTCTACCTTACACACCATTAGAGACAGTGCAGAAAACATTAAAGCAAGCTGTATTGCTGGAACAAATCTGAGTGCTAGCAAATCTGAGAGGTCATGGACAAAGGAACTTGAGCAGATGGAGCGGCTTCTAAGTGTGTGGATAAAAGACCAAACGAAGAAGCGATCTGGGACCACCTTTCTCACCATAAAATAGAAAACCTTCTCAATTTATGAAGATCCAACAAAAACTGAAAATCCTGCAGATGTGCCTGCATTTAGTGCTAGCAATGGCTGGTTTTCTGGTTTTAAGAACCACAATGCCTGTCATAATGTAAAGTTATGTGGCAAAGCTGCCAGCGCAGAAGAGGAGCATGCGATGGCATTTCCTCCCATAGTAAAAAAATTAATTGATGAAGAAGGATACATCTCAGATCAAATTTTCAGTTTGTATGAGACAGGTTTATACTGGAAGTGAATGCCACCAAGAACCTACATTTCTATGAATGAAGCACATGCTCCAGACTTTAAGGTGGCAAAGGATCATATGACTGTGCTGCTGGGTGCCAATGCCAGTGGAGACTTAAAGCTTAAGCCTGTGGTGGTGTACCACTCTGCAAACCCGTGAGCCATGAAAGATTACCTTAAGTTTACTCTAGGCATCTACTTTAGGTCACGCAAAAGAGGTTGGATGATGGGGCAAATTTTTTCTGACCTTATTGTTGATGTTTATGAAGCTGTTACAAACCGCTTCTTCATGAACAAAGAAAAAGGGCAAATTATCAAAAACTGGATGTCCTTTCTAAACCAACCACCAAGAAACAGCCATCCACTTCTGGATTAACTATTCTTCACCCTAACCCTGTAAACAAAACTGCTCCTGAAGGTGATGATGATGATGCTGACAACCCTCAGTCACTGCATTAACAACAGAGCTACCTCAGAACCTCCTCCCCCATCAAGTCATCTTGACATTTTTTCAAGATAAAGTGATAAATTTACTGTTATTTCATTATTACGTGTGAATTAAACATTTGTTCAAACTGTTATCCTTTGTGTTACACTTTTGAGTGATTCTTGATTCATGTTGAGTGATAGTTTTTGTTGGTCAGCCCCTAACCCAACACCACCCACCCCCCCGCCAACCTTTTCCCCACAGGCCCCAATATTTCTATAGCACGATTTTCTATAGCGCATCTTTTCTCAGGAGCACATCTATCGTGTTATAGCAGAACCCCTTGTACAGTTCAGGTTGCAGTGTGGCTTAGAGGGGAACTCTAAGATGGCTGGATTCACACGCATCTGCTTCCATTATCCTTCTAGGTAGTAGAGGTTGTGAATCGGGAAGGTGCGTTTTACAGCAACCATTCGAAACTAATGACTTACATTTATTTAGCTCCTTTCACGACTTCAGGTTATCCCAATATATTTTAAATCCAGTCAGATACTTTTGAATTGTTGCCACTGTTGTCATGTCGGAAATGCAGCAGCCAATCTGCACACATCTAAATGAGATAATGACTGGATAAATTATTTTATTTGTTGAAGGATAAATATTAACCTGATCATGAGAGTTAACTTCCATGCTCTATTTAAAAATGCTGTGTGTTGTGTTTTTTTGCATCTACCTGAGAAAGCAGCTGGACCTCTGGTTTAAAGTCCTACCTGAAAGATGACACCTCTGATGATGCAGTACTCCCTTTATGTATTCGATTTTTAAGTTCTAGCTGCTGAAGTAGGATGTGACCTAAAGCAAGAGTGCTATAAACTGAGCCAACTGAGCTATAACTTGGCTTATTATCTTCAACATCAGTAAGCCACACAATCAGAGTAAGGGAGACTTCACTGGAGTAAGTCTCTGGAAATTTGGGTCAAAGTGGCAATTCAGAGTAGAGTAAAAGTCAGAATCAGAATCAATAGAATCAATAGAATCAATAGCCTCTACGGAAATTAAAATAACCTAGCTAAACAGGCAACTGCTTGATAGTGGCAGTTATTCATCAAGCTGAAATTCCTTGCCTGAATTAGGTGCTGATTATTGTAGCAGGAAGTTAAGAAAAACAAGTGATTTCTCACAGACATAGTAAGAACTGGCAATGCTGGAGTCAGAGATAACACAGTGTGGAGCTGGAGGAACACAGCAGGCCAGGCAGCATTAGAGGAGCAGGAAAGTTGACGCTTCTGGTCAGGACCTTTCTTCAGAAATGTGGGAGGGGGAAGGGAACTCCAAAATAAATAGAGAGAGGAGGGGTGGGGCTGGGGAAGGTAGATGGGAAGATGATAGGTGAGTGCAGGTAGGCAGTGGTGGGGATTGGTCATTGAGGTGGGAGGCAAGGATAGGTGGGAGAGAAGATGGACAGGTTGTGTCAGGTCAAGGAGGCGGGGATGAGAGGGAGGTTTGATCATGGGATGAGGCCGGTGGTGGGGAGATTTTGAAACTGGAAAAATCCACATTGAGACCATCGGGTTGTAGGCTCCCAAGGCGGAATATGAGGTGCTGCTCCTCCAGTTCCCGGGTGGTGTCATTGTGAGACTGGAGGAGGCCCTGGATGGACATGTCGCCCAGGGAGTGGGAGGAGGAGTTGAAATCGTTTGCGAATGGAAGGCGTTGTCGTTTGTCGCGAACAGAGCACAGGTACTCTGCAAAGCGGTCTCCAAGCCTCTGCTTGGTCTCACCGACGTAGAGGAGGCCACATCAGAAACAGTGGATGCAATAGACCACATTAACGGATGTGCAGGTGAACCTCTGTCTGATGTGGATGGTTTTTTTGATTCCTTGAATGGAGGTGAAGGGGGAGGTGTAGGAGCAGGTTTAGCACTTCCTGCGGTTGCAGGGAAAGATGCCGGATGTGGTGGGGCTAGTGGGGAGTGTGAGCGGAAGAGGAAGTCGCGGAGAGAGCAGTCCCTACGGAAGGCAAATATGCGTTGGGAAATTGTTTGTGGGGTCAGATTGCAGGTGGCGGAAGTGACAGAGAATGATACGTTGAATACTGAGGTTAGTAGGGTGATATGTGAAGGAAAGGGGGATTCTGTCTTTGTTTTTGTTGCGGGGAGGAGATGTGAGGGCAGTGGTGTAGGAAACGCAAGAGATGCGGTCAAGAGCATTTTCAACCACTCGAGGGGGTATGTTGCAGTCCTTGAAATAAGAGGACATCTGGGATGTTTGGGAGTGGAATGCCCCATCTTGGGAGCGGATGCAGCGGAGGTGGAGGAATTGGGAGTAGGGGATCGCATTCTTGCCGGAAGGTGGGTGGGAGGAGGTGTAGTCTAGGTAGCTGTGGGAGTCGAAGGGCTTGAAATAGATATCAGTTTCAAGGTGGTTACCAGAGATGGAGACAGAGAGGTCCAGGAAGGAGAGGGAGGTATCAGAGATGGTCCAAGTACTTTGAAGTACGTTGAAGGAGAAGTTGTTAAGAGTAAGGACTGGTTCGGTTAAGCGGATGAGGGTGTCAGTGGAGGGGGATTGGTTGGGCCTGTGGGAGAGGATGAAGGGGAGGGCTTTTAGGCCAACCATGTGGGGAATGCAAGTGTATAGGGACTGGATGTCCACAGTGAAGATGAGCTGTTGGGGGCCAGGGAATTGGAAGTCTTGGAGGAGGTAGAGGGTGTGGGTGCTATCCCGGATGTATGTGGGGAGTTCCTGGACTTGGGGGAGAAAACAGAGTCAAGGTAAGCAGAGATAGTGGGGCAGGAGCAGGCAGAGACAATGGGTTGGCCAGGGCAGTCGGGTTTGTGGATTTTGGGAAGGAGATAGAAACGGGCGGTGTGAGGAAGGATGAGGTTGGAGGCTGTGGGTGGGAGGTCACCTGAGGTGATGAGGTTATGGATGATCTGGGAGATAATAGCCTGGTGTTCAGGGGTGGGGTCATGATTAAGGGGGCGGTAGGAGGAGGTGTCAGAGAGTTGGTGCCAGGCCTCGGCGATGTAGAGGTCAGTGCGCCATACCACAACTGCACACCCCCTTAATCGTGGGTTTGATGGTGAGGTTAGGGTTGCAGCAGAGGGAGCGGACGGCTGCACTTTCTGTGGGGGAGAGGTTAGAGCAAGTGAGAGGGGTGGAGAGGTTGTGGCGATTGATGTCGCAACGGCATTGCCCGTGTGGATGGCCTAAAAGCCCTCCCCTTCATCCAATTGACAGGTTTTCATTTTACAGAATGTGCTCACTGTAGAAGTTTACAGCTTTGAGTTTAGTTTCATTTTA